TAATAACTAGTTAATTCTCACCCCAGAGCTTTTCTTGCTCTGTGTATTGTTATTCATTTATTATTTTATTGTCTTTATTTTACTATTATTTTTATTTGTATTTTTTTTCTTTATGTATTTTCATTTAATGCAAACCCTGGCTTGTATATAGTTGTTGCAGGCTATGTATGCTGGTTTTGTTCTGCAATAGATAAATAATCATAAAAAAATAATAATCTCAAACAATTTATTTGTATAACTCTTTGAAACTGCCCCTTTTAGGCTTTGATCCAAATTGTGCAGTTTTGGTGACTGTCGCTTTAAATGAAAATGAGATTGTGCTCTTTTCAAATGAGGGCAGAGCTACAATTGCCTATGTGTCAGCATAGTGGCAGATTCAAAACGGGACATTTTGATGAAGTGTGATTATAAAAAATAGAATTAATGAAGTTTTACCGCAGGGGTGGGCAAACTCGGTCCTGGAGGGCCGGTGTCCTGCACAGTTTAGCTGCAACTCTGATCAAACACACCTGCTTTTAGATTTCTAGTGATCTTGAAGACACTGACTGGCATGTTCAGGTGTTTTGGTCACACTTTACAATAAGGTGCATTAGTTAATGTTAAGTAATGCATTTACTAACATGAACGAACAATGAACAATACATTTACTACAGTATTTTTTCAAGTTAGTTAATGTTAGTTAAGGAAAATACAGTTGTTTATTGTTAGTTCACGTTAACTCATGGTGCATTAACTAATATTAACAAGCTTGGTGCCCTATCATACGCCCGGCGCAGTGTGGTGCAAGATGCGGCGCAATAGTCTTTTGGTAGTTTCAGCTTGGCGCAAGAGTCGTTTTGAGGCGTTGCGCTACGCTGTTTAAATAGCAAATGCATTAGCGCTCATATGTGCGTTCTGGTCTAAAAAGGAAGGCGTTCTGAGGCGGACCGCTGGCGCGTTGCCATTTTGAGAAACTATAATAGATTTTTCATTAGACCAAAACTAACCCGGTCTAAACTTCAGCGCAGAGTTGCGCCTCGCTTACACACTGCTTAATAAGCACAAGAGAGCAATAGGCAAATATCTTTACATATGAAAAAATTAAATATTAAGGATATATATAGGATATAATAAGAATAGATATAGAATATAAATATAAAGGATTAAAATATTACAAAACATTATTTTCTAGCCTACATAAATATGAAAAACCACTGCTTTTATGTCTTCTTCATCTCGGGAGACTTTTTCAGTTCATTCATAACAATTTGCTTTAGTTTAATGTTATTATTATTAGCAGTATTATTTATTATATCCATATTTATATTTGTTTTATTAAAAACAAGCTTAGATTTGTCCACCTGTCAGGTTTTAGACCATATGGGGCATGGCAGGTGTATTTGGAAATAACTCAGTATTTTGACCACACTTGGTCATTGTTGTTCATTTATTAGTTTTCTAGAAATTAGAACTGAATGTCTGTGCGTAAAGGTTTCCCTATCCAAGAGCGAATGTGAAAGTAGATCCATTATCTCTCATTCTCACGCAGTAGATGCTCTGTTTAACAGTTTTCTGCAAAAAAAAACTGTTAACTGTTAGCTTGTGAAATGCTCATTTTTTCCACTTACTTTGCGTCCTGTAAATAGCGAATGCGCTCTTGGCGCGATGCAGCTGGCTCTTAAAGGGAATGGGAGATGAGACTCTAATTGGTTTATTCTCAAAACACACCTATAACTCATTGAGAAAATAAACTCAACCCTTTTAGACCATGCGCCTCGGCGCAAAGCACATTTTCTCGTCCGTAAATTAGCAAAAACGCATCCTGACATGCCCTGAAAGCGTTTGCGCCCTGCGTTTTGCACTCTACGCATGGACCGTCAAAATAGAGCCCTTGGACTTAAATGCTAATAATGCATTAATAAATGTTCAATCATGATTAATAAATGCTGTACACGTGTTGTTCATGATTAGTTCATGTTAGTAAATGCATTTACTAATGAACCTTATTGTAAAGTGTTACCGGTGTTTTTGATTAGAGTTGGAGCTAAACTATGCAGGACACCGGCCCACCCCTGCATTAGAGACTGGCTATATTCACACACTGTTGCCACAGAACTGTTTAACCCCTTACAAAAGTGATTTTTACATAATAGATTGTCTTTAAATGAACAGACTTTAAAACAAAGCCCTATCAGTTGTATATATACTGGAACCTAAAAAGTTATCTAACAAAAAGCAATGCATCTGTTACACCTGAAAATCTTCATTTACTCATCCTGCACTCCAAACCGGTTCTTTCTTATATTGAACACAAGTGAAGATACATTGATAAATGTTTAAAACTGAAACCACCTAGTGATCCATTTTCATTTTTGAGAAAAATTTCCATTTAGGGTCAAGCAAAGAAAATGTAAGAATAAAGTGAAGGAAATAAATCAATATTGTTGAGTGGGAAACACAATGAGTAAAATATGAACACAACTGTAACACTTTTAAATTCGATTTATAGCCCACACTTATTTATTATTTATTTATTATTGTCAATATTTTTACATTAATTTTTTAGAGTGAGAAAACAAGACTTCATATTTTTTTTGTTGTGCAAAGGCACAACATAAAACTCTGTGAACATGAGATAATAAAAATACAACTGTTTAATATCTTAGGCTTATTAAACAATATCAAGTAATAACATAGTAATAACAAGTAATATTAAGGAATAACAGTAACAACTTTTCATTTAAATCATGTAGAAGTAAATGCAAAAACATCTCAAATGAATAATTGTTTTCTGCATATTTTTGATATTAAATTTATTTAGCTAATGCATTTAACTGATGTTAACGACAAATAATAGACCATTAAGTGATGCCACACTACAGTATTTATTCTCCACATAAAATTATTAGGTAACAGAATAATGGTCCAGTACTTAATGTTAATTTAGTTAACTAACATTACCTAAAGATGAATAATCTTGTAAAGCATTTATTAATTAAAGTTATACATTAATTATTGCTTTGTTAAAATCCAAAGTAAAAACTTAACCTCTTAAACCCATTTTTCACATGCATTTTTTATTTCTCTTTGCTATTTGGGCTTATTGGAACTTAATTAGAATAAAACCTAAGTATCATTATTTAATATGATGTACTTTCAGAGAATAAATATGTCCAGATATGTGGACTTGTGGTCCGAATTTCCATAAAACACAATACCTTTGTGTAATAGAAACTCTTTATTTCTGCCCTGAACACAGCAGATTTTTCCTGATTGTTTATTAATGCATTAATAACACGTACACACATGCTTTTTGAACATGTTTTGACTATCAGCCAAAATAGCATTTTTTGCCCATTTTAGACAGTTAAAATAGTGCTTGGGACATTTCATGCTGCAAAACAGTTGCAGGATGTCACTGTACACTCTCAGAAAAAAGGTACACGGTGGTACAAATAATGTTCCTTGAGGGCCAGTTTTGTACCTTTGTAAAAGTTGTACCTTATATGGTACAGAAAAGACCTCTTATGATACTGTTCTGTACCTTTTATGGTACAATTCAAATGAAGGTACATAATTGTTCTCATAAAAAGGTACACTCTCAGAAATAAAGGTACAGGAGCTGTCACTGGGGCGGTACCTTTTCAAACGGTACATATTTGTACCTGAAGGGTCCATAATGGTACTTCAGAGGTACTTTTTAGGTACATTTGAGTACTAATATATATCTTTTAAAAAGGTACTGCCCCAGTGACAGCTCCTGTAACTTTATTTCTGAGAATATACATAAGTGTTGGACAACTCCTTCTTTGTTACAATATCTATGAAAATAAATATTACTGGAAAGGCACAGTGATTTATGAATAATTTCCATATTAAAACATGAATAATCATTTAAAAGCATATGTTTAAAGAAACTCATAAAGAATAATCATTAAGTTCTATAATGCAATAATACAAAACAACTGGTAAAACATTTGTATCTTTGATGTAGGTACATTTTGGTTTCCTATGGTATAAATCATGTTCTTAAAGGTACAAACCTCAATGGTACAAATTAGTTTCTTTGTCTTAAGGTTCAATTCTGTTCCAGTGACAAGGGTTTGTACCTTCTTTGGTATAACATTGTACCATTATTTCTGAAAGTGTATGTCTGTAACAAAATGTAAGCTAAAATATGCTGTACATGTGTGGCCAATAAACCGTAGGAGGTTAAATAATTAACAAACATGACTATCTACCATAATAAATGTATTACTAATAGTTTGTTCATGTAAGTAAATATAATACCACTAATAGACCATTATTTGAAAACGCTACCAATTATTATTTAACATTATTAAAGAATGCATCCATATACACTGGATTACTTAAAAGAAACTAGATTTAACAGTAAGAGCGCACATTAATAGTTGTAAATTCTGCTGTCTTAACCGTTAGTCATGTATTTTATTCTTCAAGACTATTGATAACTTCTATCAGAAGGTAAATTGGTCTCATTTGAATCAATAAAAGCAAGACAGGCTATATTACCTATTGGGAAACTGCTATGCAGCCGGCCCCAGGTTATCAGTTTTACAATGTAGCATTTGGTGTCATTTGTTTTGCTTCTAATCCATCAGAATTTGCCCATGCAAAGATCATCTTGAGGTCCGCTGGAAACATCCGACTATACAAAGCAGAGTCACATGACCGGTGTCACAAATGCTGATTTGATTAGTGATCTAAAAATAGTGCAAACCATTCCATAATTCCAGGTTTCAATTCGACCGTGATTAAATCCTACAATGTAAATGTCATCTCAAACTTTGGAAACCCCACCACAGCATGACGCATGCGTTTTTTTTACTTCAGAAAAGTCCATCTCAGGCCATCACATATCAGTTTCATACACAAAAACAATCACACCTCTTAGGAAACCATGTCCTGTAGTTTAAGTGCTTCTCTCTGGAAGAGTCCACCACAAACTCTTCTCTCAGGAGAACAAATCAATCAATGCAACGAAAAAAAACTTGCTCTACCTGATTGGCCAACAAGGATGAAAGATGCTCTCCCAACAGCCCGCTATTTCCTTCAAAGCCCTCTTTGTATTTGTGCTGTTGATGTGTTTCCTCAAAACGCCACAATCTTCAACGTCCTCTCTCTTTTCCCTCTCTCTGACTTTTTTTTTTCTTTCCCTGCGACTCCTGGGAGCTTTGACCATTTAAGGAGAAGCCTTCTCATGCTTCTCCGAGCTGCTACTGCCGCGCGCGCATGTGTGCTGTTTTTGCTTGATGCTCCAATGAGCTGCAGCTGAAGAAAGAGTCTATCTTCCTTAGCCTGTTTGTTTGGATCTCTGCCTCTTTCTGATTTAAATTTAGGCACTAAAATGTAATGAACGATACAGAAACTAGTTTCTCAGCTGCACTGTGGTATTGGCAGTAATCTATAATTCTTATTGAAATATTAATACTGAACACACACACGCACACAGAAGTTTAAAAGGAAGCCTCTTACATGCCAGTACAGAGGAAGTAAAGAAGAAAATATCTGAATATGCAAATAATATGTCATCGGACTGCTGTGTTTAACCAGCTGCTATAAATATAAAGACACCACCTGATAAAAGTCTTGTCGATGATCCCAGTTGTGAGAGCAAAAAATACTAACTTGTCTCCTAGTTGATCATTTGGAAGTGTCAGAAAGTAGATTATTCAGATGAATCATTTGTTGAACTGCATCCCAATCATCACACATACTGCATTTCATTTACATTCTCAGAGAAATCAGTCAAGTTTGGTGAAGGAAAAATCATGGTTTAGGGTTGCATTCAGTATAGGGGCGTGCGAGAGATCAGCATCGACAGCCTGAGGTATTAAGACAATTGTGCTGCTCATTACATTACAAACCACAGGAGAGGGCAAATTCCTTAGCAGGATAGCGCTCCTTCTCATACTTCAGCCTCCATATCATAGTCCCTGAAAGCAAAGAAGGTCAAGTTGCTCCAGGATTGGCCAGTCCAGTCACCAGACATGAACATTGTTGAGTATGTCTGGGGTAAGATGAAGGAGGAGGCATTGAAGATGAATCCAAAGAATCTTGATGAACTCTGGGAGTCCTGCAAGAACGCTTTCTTTGCCATTCCGGATGACTTTATTAATCAGTGATTTGAGTCATTGCAGAGATGTATGGATGCAATCCTCCAAGCTCATGGGAGTCATACACAATTTTCATTATTTTTCCACTGCAGCATGACTTTATATTCAATACTGTACGTTATTTCTGTTAAGTGAAAAGACTTTTGTCTAAGCAAAGTCAGACCTTACTGTCCTAATTAAATAATTAAAAATCAAGGCATGATCATGTTTTATTTTGGTAAAATAAGTGTAATCTAGAGGCCTTTGCCTTTCATATAAGCCACTTCTGATACCAAATGATCGACTAGAAGTCAAATTATTATTTGTTGTAACTAAAACTTGGATAGACGGCAAGACTTTTGTCAGATAGTATGGAAAATGTCAATAAATAATGCTAAAATATGACACAAAAAATTTTAATTCAAAGAAAGATATGCCACTTTCTTTAAGTAAATGTATGTACGTTACCACTATGCCCTACAAAGGCTAAAGTGCAGTATCTATGCAAACACTGTAACTGAACACAATGCCTTTAAAAAGTTTCCCAGCTTGAGTTTTGTAGTTACTGCAACCTTCACAATTTGAAATTTGACTTTTAAAGCAAAATGACAGAGGAAATTGAAGCAAAATTACCAAAAGTGAAGCAGGAGACTTTGTTAAAAGACAGAACTTATTTAGGCTACAACTCAATATAGTTAACCAAATGTGTAATTACTGCACTTTACATTTGTAGGGCAGCCTGGTACTATGACAATTTAATTTGATGCAATTTAAAATGCAATAGTTTGCAGAGTGTTTCAAAGGTTTTAAGGATGTCACACACCGGATGCACCGCTTAGAGCCGCGACGCGGTGCGCATATGACAGTTGAAATTACTGCACACAAGACGCTCATAATCGCATGATATTTAAAATGAAACTATTCAAATGGCATTCTGTGGCACGGCAGAAATATGAACCTCAGTCGTGACTGTTAGCCGCGGACAGCCAACGACTTGCGGCACAGGTGTGTGTATACTGACAGAAACCTATGTTTAGAATTCTGTAATGAATGGCGCTGCGTGGCACCACGTGTCGCAGAGAGGGGCTTCTAGTGCGTGACCCCCTTTAGAGTGTTGTTTTACTAACCAAAATTTCTATACAGGGAGTGATAATTCAGAATGACCACTAGTGCCGCATGTGACTGCCGCGAGACAAAGAAATTAGTAAAATGTATGGTCCGGTTCAGCCTCCGTGCGATCGCATAGCCCTCGCCATGGCTGACGCTGATGCTGACCTCTCAAAAATGTTAAGCTTGGTATCGGTGATGAGTGTGGGCGGTACTGAGAGCTGCGAGCCTGATGGAGCGAGTGTTGAGTCCCATTAAGGAGCTCTAGATGGCAACTTTTGCTTCATTTTGTTTGTTTACCTTTATGAATGAAGTTGTAGCACGTCCGCTGATTCCTGCCTCTGAATGAGTGAGTTTAGCTACTTGTAGCACTCAGAAAAACACCCATTAAGAAACAAAGAGGAACATAAAAATCTACCGTCAGCTAGTGTTTCGGAAGTGTTATTGCAACACAAACAGCATGAAGAACTATAAATGCACGACTATGCGCAAGGCAGTCACTGTGGGTCATGCAGGTCACTAGATGCAGAAGTATAAATCAGTCTTTAGGTGTAACAGCAGTTTGCAACACTGCCGCATGGGGATACAAAGGGACGGGATGCAAACAGACAGAAATATAGCCTGCTAATTAATGAAGATAAAATAAAGAAAGCATTATGACTTCTAAATAAATCGTTATAAACATGTTAAGCTTCATTAACCAACCGTATAAAGCTTGCCCGTTTAGTCAAATATATGACCAAACTCTTAAATAAGTACCCATCATGAATAAAACTGCATTCACAACCGGGAGGTGGCATAATCACTTACAGTATGCAAGAGAATGTAGCTTACACAAGTCTAAGTGAATAAGGCAAACAAACACTGGCGTACGATAACTCCTCTCCTTCTACTTCATGAGCAAATCTGCGACCATTTTCACAATGTATACATAAATTAGAACTTAAATTAATAGCCATTCTGAATTATTAGTACCCCTGCATATTTTTTCCCACAATTTCTGTTTACGGAGAGAAGATTTTTTTTCAGCACATGTCTAAACATTATAGTTTTAAGAAATCATTTCTGATAACTGGTTTCTTTTATCTTTGCCATGATGTAAATAATGTTTGACTAGATATTTTTCAAATTGCTAGCATTAAGCTTAAAGTGACAGTTAAAGGCTTAACTGGGTTAGTTTGCAAGTTAGGGTAATTAGTCAAATCATTGTATAACAATGGTTTGTGCTGTAGACAATCAAAAACAAAAGGGGGCTAATAATATTGACCTTAAAAAGGTTTTAAAAATCAAAAACTGATTTTATTCTAGCCTAAATAAAACAAATAAGACTTTCAACAGAAGTAAAAATATTACAGGAAATACTGTGAACATTTCCTTACTCACAAGAGGGCTGAGAATTTTTACTTCAACTGTACATATTACACATTGCATCAAAAGCCAATTCTCAAAAAACACAGCAGAGATACTTTTAAGTAACCAACGAACTCTGAAGAACATTCAGTTATTGAAACTGGCCTTAGAAATGTTGTGGGTGGTTGCTAGTGTTACGCGGTTGTTAAGGATTTCTGGGTGGCTGCTAATTGGTCCAAGTCAAAATAAGCCTGTATGATATTCTGCTTCCTAAATATGGCTTGAATATTTCCTTCAGTGTCTCCCTGCCCGGTAGATATTAGCAGAATGGATTTATTCCTCAGTAAGCAGAATGAATTTAGGCAATATTTAGTTATCATGAGCAAGTTACACTCATGCAGACACTGTGGATTTTATATAGAATAGTTGAAGTCAGAATTACTAGACCTCCTGAATTATTCCTAATTATATTTTCTTTTTAACTGAGAGAAGATTTTATCAACACATTTCTAAACATTATAGTTTTAAACTCATTTCTAATAACTGATTTATTTTTATCTTTGCCATGATGACAGTACATAATATTTTACTAGATATTTTTCGTGATACTAGTATTCAGCTCAAAGAGCAATTTAAAGGGGTTAACTAGGTTAACTAAATTAATTAGGAAATTAGGATATTTAGGCAAGTCATTGTATAAAAGTGGTTTGATCTGTAGAAGTATTGAAATAAAAATATTGCTTAAGGGGGCTAATAATATTGACCTTAAAATGGTTTTTAAAAATTTAACAACTGCTTTTATTCTAGCCGAAATAAAACAATTAAGACTTTCTCCAGAAGAAAAAATATTACAGGACATACTGTGAAAATTTCCTTGTTCACAATAGGGCTAAAAATATTATAGGGAATACTGTAAAAAATTCCTTGCTCTGATTAACTGTTATGATCACCAGCGACCTAGCAGTTGCAGATAGCTGGAGAGCTACAGATCTGCCAATTTACCACACTACAAATCCCATCATATCCAGCACTCACACGCCAGTTTTAGATCATCCCTTGATTTTATACACCCAGCTGCAGATCATCCTCTCTGATTACTTTAGCACCACAGAGACATTCATTCCTTGCTCAGTATTGTTCTGTGTTCCATGCTTGCATGTTTTGCTCTGTCTGGTTTTTGAATCTTGGATTGTTTTTGAAATGTGATGGTTTTCTGCCTGCCCCGACCTTTGCCTGTTTCTTGTACAACTCTAGTTGGATTTCTGTAGCTATTTATGTTTTGTTCCTGTTTTTGACCGCTGCCTGCCAGACCATTCACTAAAAAAATGTTGCATAGCATCTGTACATTAACATCATTGGGAAATTTTTTTTAAAAAGAATAAAATTCTTGATAATAAAAAAAAACATTACTGATTATAAAGTAAAACCCCATGACCAAAGATCAAAATTTAAATGACAAAAATAATGAAAAAACTAAATACAGTCAAGCCTGAAATTGTTCATCGCCCGGGCAAATTCTGATTTATCACCAACAACACAAAAGGGA